GGATTTGAGTTGAGTTGCAAGCTACCATATCTCCGAGTTTGAGTTGGGTGCACAGCGCCAGGCTATTCTCATCTGTTGCATGCATGTTTGAGTGTGGATTTGCAAGACTGATTTCACTTAGCCATAGCGATAGGGTGGTAGCGGCCATAGCCGTCATAGCTGTAGTAGAGTTCAGTGTGTGTGTGTGTATGAGTTCAGAGTATCGCGTGTGGGATATCCAGGGTGATCCTGTGTATGCGAACAGAGAGAGTTGTGTGGGCGCTGAGTCGCCATAGCTGTTGAAGTGAACTTGTACTTGAACTGTGTTCCTGGTTACCATATCTCTGAGTTCTGAGTGGGCGCTTGTCGCCAGTTTGCTGCGCACCTGTTTGCATCCGTGAGAAGTGTGGATGAGAGCGAGTCTGATTTCACAAAGCTCTCGCCGGTATCTTGAAGTCTTCAATGCAGCCACGTCATCATCTTCAAGGGAGGTTGCACGCATGTGCAGTACTCGATGTCTAGACTTGCGGTATAGACCGCGCACATTAATAAATGTGTCTCGTTATGCACATGCGGCACCTCCCACTTACCTGGGTGCCATGTCAGCACCTGACAGCAGATTGCGATGGAGTATGCTCTGATACCAAATTCTAGTGAACCCGGTCTGGCAGATACTCATCAGACGTCAAACCACAAGTAGTCTCAGATCTGCACAAGTCTCCAGTTATCGTGAAGTGTATCCGAAACAGTATCTCGGTACCAATAGACGAAGAGAGTTGAGGGAGGATAGACAAGGACGAAGGTGGAAGAAGTAATCAAAGACCACACGGGAATAGTCCAATCAATCTCACTCCTTCTCCGGGCTTCTTCTCCCTCCACGTCATCAATCAATAATAGTAACAAGTCTGATAAGTTCTGATCACACAGGGTGTCACGTGACACTCTTATCTCGTGAAGACTATGAAGACAACAGCATAATATAGTAACGACGTCAATCTCAGGTGAGTGCCCGTTCCCAATCAACCACAGATCCCGATCTCCCTCCTCGTCGCAACCAGGCACCTCATGTAGACAGTGTGGCCTATGCCACGTCAGATGTAGAGACAGGTGGCATGCGCCACATCATCAATGAAGATAGCTGGCAGCGCCACATCAGTAGGCAGGTGGCAGCGCCACATCAGCAATGTAGACCTGTGGCCTGTGCCACATCAGCAATGCAGACAAGTGGTATGCACCACATCAGCAGGGTAGACAAGTCGCAGCGCCACATCAGCAATGTAGACAAGTGGCAGCGCCACATCAGCAATGCCTGGTGCAGAGAACAGAAAGCGCCAGCCTGCTGCCACAACCCCGGTCGTCGTCCACAGTGCATGCGCACAGCCAGCGTCAAGCCAGCGTCTTGCCAACGTCAATGCCAGCGTCCAGTCGCGGTCGAGCCAGCGTCCAAGCAGCATAGCAAGACTGAATGTTGACCACCTTGAGACCAGTCCATTTTTAATGTTTGACGAGGCTGTCCTCGGGTCCCCTCCTCACAGTCGTTTAGATTGAATCACAACCGAGGGTCTGGATTGTGTACAGTTTCAGACTTCCTCTTGGACCTTATGCTGTCTGGGTACCTGCATACAAACAAATGTGTGCGTCTGACCGGCGGCCTGCGCTGGGTACACTTTGCCTTTGACCGTTGGGGTCTACGACAGTTGACTTTTGTTAACTGTACCTCGCTCAGGTCCTGAATCTTTAACTGGGGCCTTTTTCCCCGTTTTGGCCTGGGCCGGGGTGTGACCTGGCAAGGCCGTCAGTTTCCACGAGGCATACAACATGGGTTATTGCATGAGTCTCTTATGTATGTATATTGTGTTATCTCGGCACCATTTCACGGGTTGGCAAAAACTGTGTGAATGACACCTTTTGTATTCAAAATCAGTATATATGACGCTTTTAAAAATGGCTAAGTCTCTCTTATGTATGCATACTGTGTCATATCGTCACCGTAAATGGAGTGTACACTCTTGGAAAAAACAGTGTGAACGGGACCTTTTGGAAAAATAGAGTGTGAATGGCACCTTTTGTGTCCAACATCAGTGCATGATGCTTTTGACCTGCCTGTTGGCCAAATCACCAAGTTATCTATCTATTGATTTATTTAGTGTAAAGCTGTAAACTTATTTTATTTTTTATTTTATTTTATGAAGTCTTTTATTATAGGAGCAAAAATGGAGGCCGGGAATCCGTCAACAAACAACCGGGTGTGCTGTAACCACTACCCAGTTTAGGCTGAGCTGGGGATCGGGTTCATCGTCCCATACTTCCCTTCAAGCTTTTCTGGCTGCTGAAACCAAACCCACAAGTGGCCAATATCTCCTGAGAAGATCGATCACTAGAAAAAGACATAGCCATACACAGCAAAGCACATTGAAAGCAGTTGCTGACAAACCAGTTTGAACAAGGGCGTGCGTATCAGCTAGAGGCCGAACACCCTATATCCTTATTCTCCAATCCTTCAGTTGGCTGGTCGTCCAGCAGTCCCTCTAAGAAGCTGGCCACGCCGAAAGGTCCCCGCGTAGCTATTTAGCAGGCTGAGGTCTCGTTCGTTAACGAAATTAACCAGACAAATATCTCCACCAACTAAGAACAGCCATGCAGCACCTATTTCTTCTTTGTTTCCGCCCCCCTCCTCCCCCTGTAACACATGCATTCCTCATTGTTCACTGTGCTACGCCGTTTTCAGCGTTGCGGTCGTCATTGCTCTTGAGAGCTTTAAACTTCAAAGAAAGATGTGTGCGCGCATGGGCAAGTGTGTAAGAAGCTGTTATAACTGTACTCCACGATCATCTTCCGCTGACCGCAACACCTATTGTGAATGTATACAAGCTATCCTTCAGCTCTGATATAATCAGAATATGGGTGTGTTGTGTCCTGGGGAAAATGGTATGCTTTTGATAAGCTCATATCTCTGGGAACTTTTGAGGACTTGCTTATGCAGGCGGATTTTGGCAAAGTAGCAGGGTGGTAAAGGAGGAGACTTGGCGAAGGTTCAAATATATAAACCTTATGTTGTTTTTTTCTTGTTGCTTGTTGCATTTGACAGTGCAACGGTTTGATCCCGTTTACCAAGCAACAAAGTTGCATTTTGAAGATCTGGAAAGGCGCTATGGCAACCCCATCATTATCCTGAACCTGATCAAGGTATTGGAGTTCGCTTGACGTTTAGGTGTCTATGACATCTTACATGCATGTTCTCCACTAAGCCTCCTTCCATCACCTGCAGCCTTTCTGCTCCCACCATTGTTGACGATTCTCCTCTTTCTTTCTCTTTTAGGTTTCCCAAAACACTCCCCCCCTGTGCCCAACCCTACTGTCTGAAGCAGGTCCTTCCCATGGTCCCTCACTAATGTAACAAATCTTGGATCCGGGCTGTCGTCGGCCATACCGGCCCACGGCCTGGATCGTCGGAACTCTGTAAGAAATCTTGAATCTGGGCTGTCGGGTCCTACCGGCCCACTACCTGGATCGTCGGAACTCTGTAAGAAATCTTGAAGCCGGGCCGTCGTGTCCTATTGGACCTACGGCCTGGATTGTTGGAACTATGTAAGAAATCTGGAATCCGGGCTGTCGGGTCCTACTGGACCAACAAAAAACTAGAGTAGAAACGTTTCTAGTTGGATGAATTTGACGCTCCTGTAGTGGCCTGTACGTTTCCTGGCGCGTTAACAGGCACTACTTCAGGAAGTACTGGTGGTTTAAGATCTTAACACCTCACGCGAATCCAAGCCGTTGGGTCCTATCGGACCGACGACCCGGATTGACGTGTTGCAGAGCCGTTGGGTCCTACCGCATGGCAATCCAGGCCGTCAGCGCGGTACTACCAGGCCGTTGGCCCTGATGGACCTAGAATAGGCCTATCGGTGCCTGTAGGTTTTACCCTACCGCCGCCCTCCTTACTGCGTGTGTGGGCAGGGGGGGAGGGGCAGAGAGAGAGAGAGAGAGAGAGAGAGAGAGAGAGAGAGAGAGAGAGAGAGAGAGAGAGAGAGAGAGAGAGAGAGAGAGAGAGACTCAGGGAAACATGAGGAGGGTGCTGCTCTAGATTTGATGTAGGAAGCCGCCAAGAGTCGAATCTTCTTCTTTTCGTCGTCGGAGTGGTGAACAGCTCCGCTCGAAAGAGGTAAGCGTGGTCTGATCCTTCCTCCTCCCCCTCCACCCTCTTTGCCTATCTTTCTCTTCAGTGATCTCCTGTCCTCTTATGTATCGATTCCAATTTTCCTCTCTATTTCCGCTTCGCCATGCCCGTTCATCCCCTCTTTCTTTTCCATGTCTTCATCCATGTGTTTGTTCTGTTGTCCTGCTCGACGTCATTCTTCTCTCCGCTTCCTCCTCCGCGTCATCCACTGGATATGTGCAGTTCCCTGTGGAAGCATTTGTGGCCAGTACCCTTCTCTCTGCAGGAGAGCACGTGAAAGGAAGGGAATGGGGAACTGTTGATGACATGAAAAGATCAGATGGGAGAAGGAAGGGGAGGGCCAGGTGAGATTGAATTAAGATGATGACCATCAAGGGGGGGGGGGTGAGGTCAAGAAGTTGGATGAGTGTAGATACTAGGAGGAGGTGGAAGGTTGAAAATGTAGGCCGGATAGATGCTTGAAATTATGAAAGGAGGGGGAGGGCAGAAGAGAGGCATTGATGAAGCATCGCAATCGGCGCTCGTAGATGAGAATCACGAGAGGTCGGAAAAGCATCGCAATAGGGGTAGTGGCAAACGTCAAGATCGCAGGAGGGGGGTGATGAAGGGAATCTGGATGGGGGAAAGTTTGGAAACGCGAAAGCGGGGGACACGTGTAAAAGCGAGAGAGCGAGAGAGCGCGCGCGCGCGCAAGAGAGAGAGAGAGAGAGAGAGAGAGAGAGAGAGAG